TATATCTGTTATAGATTAAGAGAAATAAGCATTCAATGAGTTGTAAAGATAATGTTTTCTTATCGTTTGTTTACATATCACATTTAAGGTAATAGAAGCAAGTAATATTACTTGTGAAAACAAAAATTAGTGGTATTGGATTAAAACATTTTACATGTACAAAAACAAGAGCAAAGTTATAAAATGGTCAAACCGTGTAAAGATGTAAACATGTGCAAATTAAACAAGAAAAAATATTTATCGAAAACTTAGACCTCTTTTTACTATAATTAGGACAAATTGCGACACGTAAAATGTTTCGATAGATCTCGATGATGAAAGTTACGATATTAATCTTCATGTGAACATTTCTTATCTTCATCAGAATGATTTGCTTATGCTGCTTCCTTTAGAGACATTTTTGAAATTTTGGATGCACATTTTGTGATTTTTTTTTCTATTTTGATTGTTTTCCTTTTTGGTTTTATATATTTGCAGTTTGTCTCACAAAACAAACAGCTACGCAATGAAAACTGTGTATTAGTTGAAACGTTCTTCACTTGCTATAAGCTTGTTTTGTGATCATCATTCAAGTCCTAGTCAGCCTTCATTTGTTTGCAAGTGCTAGAAATATTTGTAAAAACTTGATAACATCATCTACGAGCACCAAAAATGTAATGATCAAACATGAAAAACACATTTTCAATTATGTCATTTGGTCTGATTTTTGAATCACTTATGAGCTAACGCATCACCACAATTACCTTTATTTCATTAAATTCAATTCAGTCATTGACATTGTATCAGTGTTAAGTTTGTTTCTAGCATAATGGATTTTACAGGGTTTTTGGTTGTTTGTTTTTTTATCTGCGAAAGCCTTAGGCATATTAAACGAACAGATCATTTTATTTTGTTGTTATTCACATGAAAAAATAAATGTTTTCTAACCTTCTGTATTTAATGTAAATAAGAAACACATCTACAAAATATAAACCATCTTATTTTATAAAAATTAACATTTTTCTAGGATATCTAATTCAGAGTGTGATTGTAATGACGTTTGTCGTTCGAAATATTAAGAGGTCTTGAAAGATCAAAACTTTGAATCCCAAAACAGAAAACTTGATAATTTAAGGACTTTCGGAATGTAGACTTTCCTGCTTCGAATATGAAATTAAATAAGAATTTATTGAAGGTTAGAAACCAATGAATCCAAAATTATTATTAATTTCACAAAATGAATAGAATTCAAAGTGGAAATGTAATAGGCTTCTTTTACTTCTCTTTCAGAAGAAAAAATAGGTCTTAAGCTATGATTCGGTTATAGTAAATGGATTTCTTTCTAGAATCATTAGATGTTCTTGAGTTTAAAGTGATGGGTGACAAGAAGAGGGATTGTAATTAATTTATTAGTATTGGAGTATTTAAAACCAGTTTTTTGTTTACTCCTGTTAGCTTTTTGAATCTGTGTATCTATTTCAGCACCTTTATAAACTTCTTGTTTCTTGCTCTCTTTTATAGCCCCTCTTTGTTTTTTTATTTTGTATTTTTTCATCAATAAACATTTATTTAATACGTAAGGCTTTACTAAGACTAACATTCTGTTTAATATTTCGAGATTGAAGCTTATGTAGCGAAGATATTATGGTCTGCCGCTTTCTTAGTTTTTGTACATGTCAGAGTGTAGAATTATTTCTTTTAATGAGACAGTGAAACCAAGAACTTTATCCTGCGTGGAAGAGTAAGCAACAATTGTATGGAAGAAGTTAACCCCAGAGAAAAGTTTTGAAACGATTCAGTAATCAAGATATAATCGGTATGTTGTTATCAAGTGTGAGGTTTTCATTGTCTTTCTGTACGAACTGCCCTTCAGTATCACCCATAAGGAGCCGTCTTAGTGCCCATGGTAGTATTATTAGTCAGGATGCAATGCTCATTGTTAAATTCAATGCTATTTAAATATGAAACAGCAATGGCTTCATCAAAACCTTTTCTCAAATTCAGATATACTATTTAGGTTTGGAGCAGCTTTCAGAACTTATAGCCTTCATCGTGTAGAGTATTAGAGAAAAGTATCATAGTGTATGGAGACCTATTTGGAGGATTGGTCGGTGTCATTGATTTCCTCAGTGATGTTAATAAAATCCTTCATGTCTACAATGTAAGAAGAAAGGATAAGGGGAATGCATTTTATGTAATGGTCGGCGACAAGAAGATACCTTTATGGTGGTCTGTTCATGTTAAAATTAATAATATGTCCAGGATTCTTATTTTTGTGAACAGATAATATTTACCTGTACAACAGCTTATTTACTTGTTTTGTTGTTAAGCACAAAACTACATAATAGGTTAACTACCGATACCCACCGGGGTATCGAAACCAAATTTTTAGCGCTATAAGCTCTCACACTTACCACTGAACCACTCAGTTGGGTGGGCAATCATTAGTTATCATCTTCAAGTACATTATGGGTCTAGCATTGCTACAATCTTGATATAATCTTGTTTTAAACAGATCAATGCTTTGTTCAGACAATTTCTCTGCACTAGGTATAGAGTCATGTCTCGTAACGTGCCAGAACTTATAGGGCGTCAAGAACGGTAGGTATCTCCAGTGTACTGTATCCAGAATCCTAAAACGTCATCGGCCTATATAAAACGCTGTTCCAGGAAAGTCTACTGGTAGACACCGAAAAGCTACTGCCCGAGATGACTGTGTCTTGATCAGTTTAACATATCAAGGTTGAAATAAATCTTGCAACACCTTAAGACAGGAATGGAATGAACACGTTCATTTCAGGGTGCACAGGAGAAAAGTAAATAGGAGACTGACCAAACAAGGTTATTTTGTAATAAGGACTATCTGTTAACCGATATTAACCAGAATTCACCGCCGTCACCGTATTACTCGGGCAAGACAGCAATCCAGCTTATAGTTAGGACACTGGGGACATGTCATATTTTCAGATGAATAAAACTGGTGGTAGGATTCGTGTTCGTCGTTTACCTAGAGAACAAATGAGGGAAGACTGTCTTTCTCACAGTGAACACACAATACATGTTTGTGCATCATGATGGAATAACTGATCTTCATATCCTCCAGAGAAAAGGCATCACATGGAGGCGATATTTCTGCCATATGCTAGGGCAAGGTTTGGAAATAACATCGTGTTCCAGGATGACAAGCCACTTCTCACAGTGCGCGTATTGTACTGGGCATTACAAGAGTGCTCTGGTATGCAAAGTCTCCAGATTCTTAACCAGGCCCCTAAACCAGTTACTGTAGCTGAGTTGCAGCGCCTTTTAGTGACAAGTTGAGATGAAATCACAGTGGATTACATCAATAACCTCATCGATAGCATGCCACGTCGCCTTGTGGAGATTATTATAGAACGAGGATGTACAGCCAAGTACTAAATGTTTAATATGAACTTATATAAAGTTACAGATGCTATTTATAATAATTTGATGTTAAATTTTGTCATTATATATGTTTTGGTAAGATTTTGTTGTGATAGGTGAAATGCTGAATTACACATCATTCTGCAGGTGTCTGATAAACTTGTTTTCTGTTCTAATAAATCATTCATGGTGTCCATAGAACCTG